TTTATAAAGTATGCATATATACAATGTATGGATTATATATTTTTTTTCTCAGGAAATTGAGAAAATACAAAAGCAAGTTAGATAATTGTAAAACAACAGAACCCAAGATCAAGTACAAGCAGATAAACAATATATCGGATCGGTAATATTTCGTTAAAAAATATGTTAAAAAGAATCCACTTTCAAGTTCTGAAAACCCTTTTTTAGAAATGTAAAATTAATACTTAAATAAGTGTCCTAGCTCTTCCTAATTCAAATTACACCCATAAGAGAAAGAGATAAGGAAAATCATACGCGGGGTTAAAGTAAAGTTCTCGGAAAAATGGGAAAATGTTAAACTGCGTCTGAAATGTTAGCTGTTTTTGGCAAAACCTTTCGGAATTTTGGTTCTTTAATGCTCTATAACCTCGTACTTTCTTTTGGTCTTTTTAACTCTTTTGATTCAAATGTCACTGATGATTCTTTTGTAGACGAAACGCGCGTCTGGGGTACAAAATCTGAACCCGGGTATCTTAATGAGTTTAACTGCAGCACAATGTCTTCACCTTTCACAGCTCTAGATTCACACATAATGATGAGAACTTTAATTTTGTTAAATAATATTCATTTTCAAAACAGTCCAATTATCTGTATTTCAATACGATTGAAACCAATCGTTTACGAAACACTTAATGTGTATGTTATTTACGTTAATACAATAGACACTATTTATTTGCACAAACATAAACTATAGAAATCAGCACACAAAAACAACAGACCAAAATACTGAACTTTAACCCCAGAGTGTATCTACTTGTTAACTGCAAACAATCTTACTAATAGTCTTTTTATCAGTAAAACATGGAAAATAAAAAATAATGTTTTGATCATTATCTTTAATTTGATCATAAAAAAGTAAATTTCCATGAAGGTTTGACAAAGTTATAATTGATGACTGAAAAACTTTAACCTTAGACTGTATCTTAATTTTTACTGTAAAATATTTTGTCAACTTGTCAGTAAAAACGGGTAAAAGGAAAAAGATATTTAAAACAAAAAAATGTTCTGGAAACTTTTCATAAAATTCCCAGTATGAGATAATGCCCTTAAATGATGATTTGGACTTATTTTGTAGTTTTTGCCTATTATCTTGAAAACTATAAGAGAATTGTAGAAACTGTAAACAGCAAAAATAACCAACAACACAAGATATACAAAAATACCAACATGATTGAAATCATTGGATGACCACAAACCTGAGTATTGCCCTTTACATGTTTTTTTGGTACTAATTTTCAAGTGTTTGCCTTTTATCTTGAAAACTGTAAACAGCAAAAATGACCAGCAATACAATTTTTGAAAATGAAATAAACGCCAATATAACTGAAACAATTGCATGGCTCCTTATAAGAGATATTGCCTTTAAATGACAATTTTTTACTCACTTTCAAGTTTTTGTCTAATATGTCATATTGAAAACGAAAGTAGATAGGTAGAAACAATGAAAAGCCAAAATGATCAGCAATTTTTGTCTATAATATCATTTGGAAAACGAAAATAGATAGGTAAAACTGACCGCGCTGAAGTACATCCATAATTCATTTTCATTATTCAAAATTCAATAATGAATAATGAAATAGTTCATTATTCACTATTCAACCTTCAGTAATGAATAAAGAATAATGAAATAGTTAATATTTCACTATTCAAGTTGTAAAAAGTGAATAATGAAATAGAAAACATATTTTTTGACTGTGACACTATATCCAGTATTTCTGAATTCGTCATTTTAATGTTATTTAACAAATATTCAAATTAGTATCAGAAAAGAAAATCAAAACACTCTTCGTATTTTTTATCTTTATTTATTTATTTAGTTTCGGAGGATAAACAAGTGGGTTACCCCAACTATTTTTAACAGAAATTCCTGGTTTTAATGTATGGACGACCTGAATACCAAAACATATATAAAAATAAAAATATTATACATTGGATTTTTTTTTAATTTTCACTGGACCTTTGCTATTCTTCATCCCTGATTATAGATATAACTTTTCAATTGCGCCGCAATGCCCATTAGAGGGGTTACGGAGGACCTAAATGCCAAAATACGCGTGAACATTAAGAAATAGCCAATTTTGAATAATGGAATGGATATTTTGAATAATGGAATGGACTGCTGCGACCCTTCAGCCTCTAATTACAGACATACCTTATACGTCATTCGAAAGCTTATCAATAGAGGAACAAAAGGTATATAGTCAATATGTTTCGCAACGCATATTAGAGGAGTTACGGAGGACCTTAATGTCGAAATACGCGTGTACATTAAGAAATAGCTTATTTTGAATAATGGAATGGACTGTTGCGATCCTTCAGCCCCTAATTACAGAGAAACCTTATACATCATTCGAAAGCTTATCGATAGAGGAACAAAATGGTTATAATCAATATGTGCCACAATGCCCTTTAGATGGGTTACGGAGGACCTAAATGCCAAAATACGCGTGAACATTAAGAAATAGCCAATTTTGAATAATGGAATGGATATTTTGAATAATGGAACATTCAGGTAAAGTTAAGTAACATTTGGCCCAGTAGTTAAAAAAAAGAAGAAGATTAAAAGTTAACGACGACGGACGGACAGGGTGAGCTAAAAAAAAAAAAGCATTTGCCTTTTCATTATAATCGTTTTTAACATTTTTAATAACTTCATTATTTACGCATGTACTACGCGAGGGGGTAATTCTAAGCTTTCGAAGTCAGTCCAGACAGGTTTATCAGTAAATGTAACCATTGTTTATTATCTTGTATCATAACCAGAAGCGGATCCAGGGGGGAGGGGTCCGGGGGTTTGGAACCCTCCCTTTTTTTTGACGATCAATGCTTTTGAATGAGGACATATGGTTGGACCCCCCCCCCCCTTTTTCAAAATGGCTGGATCCGCACCTGATAACTATCATCTTCGACGATTTTACAGTTCTGTCATTTTTGTTCTCACATGCTCACTTTGCATGCTTAGCATTAAATTACATTTTTCCCATTTTTCGTCCCGAACACATACCTGATAAAATATATTACAGAAACAGGTGATATACTCGCAGAAATCGGTGTCATAAGCTTGTTAGAGGGCATGAACGGGAGATTTTAATTTCCGTATTCTTTAATGTTAAGGCCATTTTTCTCAATTCTTTTTTTTTTTTGTATCAGTTATTCCCTTTCATTTTGTTTTGCACCCTATAATTCTATACTCTTTTTGTACCGATTTTTCTCTAGTACTTATTTTGTAAAGACAGGTTTTAGATCAAACAGAAATTTAACTTTTTAATCATCAGAATTATACTGGACACACTGCTGTATGATGTCCAGAAACCGGTTAGTGACCTTCATTTCCTCGTCATGGAATTCTTTCATCAACCTCAGCCGGTCATCTTCACGAACTTTCTGTTCTTCTCGGTATTTTTCGAAACTAGCCAACAATGTTTGTAAATCGTTATTTTTACTTTTCTTAATTCAAAATTGGCTATTTCTTAATGTTCACGCGTATTTTGGCAATTAGGTCCTCCGTAACCCCTCTAATAGGCATTGCGGCACATATTGATTATAACCATTTTGTTCCTCTATCGATAAGCTTTCGAATGGTGTATAAGGTTTCTCTGTAATTAGGGGCTGAAGGGTCGCAACAGTCCATTCCATTATTCAAAATAAGCTATTTCTTAATGTACACGCGTATTTCGACATTAAGGTCATCCGTAACTCCTCTAATATGCGTTGCGAAACATATTGACTATATACCTTTTGTTCCTCTATTGAAAACCTTTCGAATGACGTATAAGGTATATCTGTAACTAGAGGCTGAAGGGTCGCAGCAGTCCATTCCATTATTCAAAATATCCATTCCATTATTCAAAATTGGCTATTTCTTAATGTTCAGCGTATTTTGGCATTTATGTCCTCCGTAACCCCTCTAATGGGCATTGCGGCGCAATTGAAAAGTTATATCTATAATCAGGGATGAAGAATAGCAAAGGTCCAGTGAAAATTTTAAAAAAATCCAATGTATAATATTTTTATTTTTATATATGTTTTGGTATTCAGGTCGTCCATACATTAAAACCAGGAATTTCTGTTAAAAATAGTTTCCTCCGAAACTAACTAAATAATTAAAGATAAAAATTTCGAAGAGTGTTTTGATTTTCTTTTCTTATATTAATTTGAATATTTGTTAAATAACATTAAAATGACGAATTCAGAAATACTGGATATAGTGTCACAGTCAATTTATCTATTTCATTATTCACTTTTCAACTTGAATAGTGAAATATGAACTATTTCATTATTCATTATTCATTACTAAAGGTTGAATTATGAATAATGAACTATTTCATTATTCATTATTGAATTTTGAATAATAAAAAATGAATAATGGACGTACTTCAGCGTGGTGTAAAACTGTGAATAGCAAACACGACGAGCGATACAAAATGAAATAAATACTAATATGCCTGAATCAACTAGGTGACTCCTCATAAGAGTTATTGCCTTTAAATGACAATTTTTGACTCACTTTCAAGTTTTTGTTTATTATACCATATGGAAAACGGAAGTAGATAGGTAGAAACAATGAAATTTAAAGCCAAAATGATCAGCAATTCAAAATACATTTTTGACAGGTGAGCCTCTTGATATTGAATTAAAAGGTAAATTCAAGTGGGTTTTCATGATTTTTTAGTGAAAGATTGGATTTCTCATTTGAAAGCCTTTATAATTTGCGACACTCCTTCGTTTGAACATGCTTAGCTTTAAATCATCAACAACAAATAGAAAGATTGATTTAAAATAAAGTAACCCATGAACATGTTGCGGGAATTTTTATGTATATCATTTGTACCAAAGATTTACTTGTCTAAGTACTTTTTTTTTATTCTAACAAATTAATCAGATTTAAAATTTATATAACTTGAGAACCAATATTCCCAAACATTTAAAAACTGAAATTTGTTGTCTACTTTCAGATGGTAGTGACTGTATAAATCCATCAACAATAAATCTTAGGGATGATCAGTGGAGTGCATCGACAGAATATGGTTCTTATACTGCACAAGAAGGCAATCTAAATGGAGGTATATATATATATATATATATATATAGGGTTTAAGAACATATGTTGTTCGACCTGTTAGTCAAATGCGTTTTGTTAAAATATACTTTTTCACTTTTTTGGTCTTTTGGAAAATGTTGTTTGTGCTGTATTTATACCCCTCTATCAAGAAATTTGTTTTACATGCACACGTATAAAATTGCGGTTTTTATCAAACGCAAATCATAGGTTTGAACGTTGTTTTCAATTTAGATGTGTTTATATTTTTTCGTTTCGGCTTGTATTATATTTTCCTTCGGGTTTATATGATCCGTTCATCCTATTTCTAACATTTCGACTCTTCAAAATTCAAGAGTCTATCCTAAATTGATGTAAATTATATGGCCTTCCAAATACCGTTTCGATCCCTAACATCACTGAAGAGACATTAATTGTCGAAATCCGGATATGGTGTACTAATTTTTGCACCTTTTGTTTGCGGATACCATCTTTTCCGCAAGTTTATTGTTTTCTGTTTGGTATTAAATTAATAATTAAGATCCATTTTGTTACATCTGGTGATCCGTTTATTTGGCAATCGCCAATGGTAGTCAGCAGGGTTTAAGAACATCTGTTGTTCGACCTGTTAGTCAAATGCGTTTTGTTAAAATATACTTTTTCACTTTTTTGGTCTTTTGGAAAATGTTGTTTGTGCTGTATTTAGACCCCTCTATCAAGACATTTGTTTTACATGCACACGTATAAAAATTGTGGTTTTTATCCAACGCAAATCATAGGTTTGAACGTTGTTTTCAATTTAGACTTGTTTATATATATATATGCAAATTTGCGTTAGCAAGTTTTTGTTCCTCCCTTAGCGGGTTCGAACCCTTGCCGTGTTCAGCGCCCTAGACGACTCGACCACCTAGGGCGCTGGACACGGTGCAGGCGGTGTTGCCATGATGTCACAGACGCAAGGGTTCGAATCCCGCTAAGGGAAGAACACAAATTTGCTAACGCAAATTTGCAAATCTAGCATTGTTGGGCTAAATTTGAGACGAATTATATATTACATTATGGTGTAAGCCCTGTATAACCACGTGTTATCCGATGGAGAAAGTCTGTCATAAAGTATTCGCATGTTTAGACGTGTAAATATTTATCATTGAAGAGATTCATGCACACATACACTTAAAAGAGCTTTCCTGATTAACTCGTTATTGGCACATTTAGGCTTTGTAAAATACTTAACATATGGCACTCTGTATACTTTTTTGGTTTTCAATATCAATGAACCAATAAATATGTCCTTGTCATACCTTTTGCGATAATAAGTTGGTGTTTTATTATTTCTAAAAACTTTTTCAATTAAAAAATTGTCAATTTACTCTCTATGGGAGTTATTACCTTTAAATAAAAATGATGATATTTTTCATCTATTTTTTGCATTTTTGGTATTATTTTGAAAACAAAACTAGATAGAGAAAATCTTAACCGAAGCAATATGACAAATAAGACAAGATCTACAATTAAGTAAACATTGCCAAAATCGTCATTTAAATGATTATAATAGTTTATGTCCTTAAACGGCGAATTTTTCCCTCAATTTACTACCTTTTGACTATAAACTTGAAACCTCTAAAAGATAGAAAGACACTCTTTTAGCACAAAGGATCAGCTACGCAGGACATATAAGTCAAACATAACCAAAATGGTCAGTTGACTCCTGCGTTATTTCATTTAAAATATGCACTGGTTCTTTTTTTTTCATTCAGTGTTATAGCTTACTCTTGGAAAACTGTTTTCCTTTTTCAGATACATTAGAAATCAATTATTCTTTTCATAAAACTATTTTCAGATGAACTTTATTCGTATAGTAAATTTCAAATTATTTACTGTCTAACAATAACATAGATAACTGCTAATGGCTGTGTAATTTAGGTGATAACACTAACTACATCTGCAAGTTGAGTAGTCACTCAGAATTTCATTCAAACTGTTACTTGAAGTTGAATTGGATGACCAACCATTGGAACTAAAAGTTGAACTCCGGTTATTTCAAGTTGTGTACGTGTTGTCGTTTGCTGTATTTCACGGAAAACACACTTTCCTTCATCATTTAAAAGTTTAAAGTGTTTGTAAATCATTCAAGCTTCACAAGTGTTACAATAAGCTGAACAAAAAAATTAAAAAAATGGAAAGTTGTATTGTCATTACGCTGAAATAAAATAGTATGTTAAAGGAATTATGTGCAAGTGTGCAGAAATCAAGAACTTAATATATAGATATTACAAAAAAATACGATTTTGAAAGTAAAACAGTGTTGTCCTTTAATAAAAAAAAAAACTATTAGATAAATTCATCAGTTGAATGTGTGATAGATCTTTAGCTAAACATAACTCTGGTACCAGTCTGAAACACTAAATCGTAATGAATAACCGACACGATGTACTAAGTTTTGAAGTTTATTCATCGTTATGAAATGCAGTGAAACGAAAAAATAAAGTTGTAATGAAGCCTTATATTTGATATTATATAAGTTAATATTTTTTTTTAAATTAAAAGTGCAAATAAAATTAATATAGATTAGGTAAATGATTAAAGAATATAAAAAAGAAATAAGGGTGCCCTCTACTATTTCAGGAACAAAGCATGGAAATATGTAAACAAACATCACGAAATAGTCTTCTCTCTTCTGTTTTGCATGTGGTACTCTATAATCCGTATCCCTGTCTGGAAATTTAAATTATGGAGTAAAAGACAGTGGATTGTACATACATGAAAACTGTATATTGAAGATTATAAATTCAATATTTAAGTTTGCCAGTTTTAAATTTTTTAGTTATAATTAATATTAGAGCATAAAAGGCCATGTGAGCCTTTGCTATCACTAGGCGTCCGTAGTCGTCGCACGTCCGTTGTCGTTACAATTTTTGCAGTGATTTCTATAATGACTGGCGAACTGCTGCATAATATTCTTCAGTGATATTACAGAATGCAATTCAATACAATTTAAATATATGTTTATTTTCTTAAGCTCACATGGCCTAAAAGACCGAATGAGCTTTCGTCATCACTTGGCGTCCGTCGTTGGAACCTTTTTAAATATCTTTTCCTCTGAAAGTACTGGGCCAAATGTTACTAAACTTTACCTGAATGATCTTTAGGGTATTTAGTTTAAAGATTGTATTCTGGGATTGATCCATCAACAAACATGGCCGCTGTTGCTAAAAATTGAACATGGGTTAAAATGCAGTTTGACTTATATCTCGAAAACTAAAGTAGTAAAAGCAAACCTGACATAGGGTAATCAGTAGGTCAATGTCTAACTCCTCCGGAATTGTCAGAAAAATCGAGCCCATTTTAGATTTTTTTTTGCACCTGAAATGTCAATTTTTGGTAAGTTTCAAAGTTTTGGGCTGATATCAAACAAAAAATTAAAGCAGTTACAGCAAATTGTAAAAATTATCAGCAGGATATGGTCTATATTCAGTGTAATTCGTTTTGAAATCGAACAGTCCATTTTGGAGTAATTGCCCCTGAAATGTCATTTTTTAGTAAACTTCAAAAGTTTGCTTGGCTTATATTTCAAAAACCAAAGCAGGTAGAGCAACGGTGAGTAAATTGAGTTATTTCCTCTGAAATGACAAATCAACACACATATATACTAGATTGAGTAAAGATTGTGAGCTTTGTTTGATACCATATATTACTCTTACAATTTTGAGTCTTTAAACTAACATTTTTTATAGTTGGATGGGGAACATTAACGTATGACAAGTTCCAGTACCTTAAAATTGACCTAAATGGTGTATGGCAGATTACAGGGATATTGTTTAGTCGGATAAATAATGGCTGGTACACCAAGACCTTACGGTACACACACATATATATATATATATATATATATATATATATATATATATCAATACTATAGAACGTAACTATTTTATCATTTTTAGTATTTTCGGTGATTTCATTATCAGTATAGATGTTTCATCCTTTATTTACCCACAATAATTAACTCAAAGGAGAAGGAAACCAAACTGCAATGTAATTTTTAATTTTTAACTCAATCTATTACTTTTTAAAATAGTTCCAAGTTAAAAGAATGTCAGAAGGTCACTATTTTGGTATATCTAAATAAACCTTTTTGAATTACCCACTTCAAAGGCAGCTTCCATATTTCTTAAACTTGTGACGTCATTACTCTCATTTCATTTCCTTCTGGCTTCAAAATAAACACAACCAGCAGTGTAGCTTCCATTCTGAGGGCAGTCAGGCAACTGCCTCACTAAATGTTTTACCAAGATGACCTTGCAGACTATCTGAAAGTTGATCTAAGGACATCAAGTTTATTCGTCATTGTCCCCCGTGTGTCACGCAGCAGGAAATATGACAATGATCTCTGTCCTTTGTCCATTGGATACACATCAATACCTAGAGCCTGTTTGATATATATCTTTTATACTCAGTAGGATTATTTGTTATCATATCCTCTTGACCTTGTTATATAAAAATAAGAAGATGTGGTATGATTGTCAATGAGAAAACTCTCTACCAGAGACCAAATGATGCAGAAGTTCGCAACAGCACAACATCAGAATAAACTATCGAATTCAGTTGAAAAGTTCTTAACTCCTCATAACGATACAAAGAAGAAAAGCACAAACACTAAAGACACAAAGTACAGATCTGAGAGTACTCAATGTTACTGAAAGCTAGTTCAAAGCGAATAAAACAATAAAAAAAGATCATGTAAACAATATTAAAATATCAATCAGAATACAATCAACATCAAATGGATTTAGTGTAAATACTTCTTTATCTGCCTCTTTTGCAATGACAAAATATAGGTATCGACAGACTATAGGAAAGTAAATGTTCCTAGGTGTATAACAATAATATTTAGTTTGGTTTTAATTGATTGATAACATATCAATATTTATATCATCTAAAACAAACAATATTCAAATACCTAATGAAAACCTTTTAGAGTAAGTTATTTTAAGAGGATCGGTAAGTTAACCTGGATCATCGTGATCATATCTAGATTTAAGGTCTAGATAAACAACATCACTGTGAAAGAAAAGATGTGCTATCCTGTTTGGAATTAAATCTGTTTCTACTATGAATAAAATGGAATTTAGACGGGTCTTTTTGATGAGTTTGCCTATAAACTGTGATTCATAACAATACAGGAACTAATTCTCATACTTTATTGGATTGTTTGTCATCATGTGTAGTTAATCATAATATACCATCATTTTGATCGGACTATATTTATGGGTGTTGTCGGACTTTGGCTATTTTTTGGAGTATGGTGACAATTACACCTTGTGAATGCAACTCCTCTGAGTTGACCTTATTGTACCGTCATTTAGATCTGAATTTTTATGGGAGTTGTCGGATTTTAATTTGGAGTTTTGTGACAACAACTTCTTATGAATGCAACTTCTGTGAGACCATTCTACAGGAAGCTCTCATACAGAACTTGGTAATATTGTTTTCCATCATGTTAAGTTGACCATATTTTACTCTCATTTTGAGCTGACAATTTTTACAGGAGTTATGAGACTTTTGCCATACATGTATTTTATACCCTTATAATCAAACTGATAAATACATATTGGCCTTTATGCTGTGTAGATTCTGAAGAATATGTCATTGTGTCAAAAATGAAATCTATTTATACTTCTAGATTAATGTAGTGTAAGTTTAAGGGATTATTTCTAATGTTAATACGACTTGACATCTAAGTTGATTGTGGATTCAAAATTGCATATGTGCAAAAGAGGCGAAAGATACCAAAGGGACATTCAAACTAAAAAAAAATACACTGACAACATCATTGCAAAAAAAAAAAAAAACAAAAGGCATACAACAGTATACAAAACATAACATAGAAAACTAAAGACTGAGCAACACGAACCCCACCAAAAACCGGGGTGATCTCAGTTGTTTGGGAAAGGTAGGCAGATCCTACTCCACATGTTGCACCCGTCGTTTTGCTCATGTGAGTACAAACCCTGTGATAAATCTCATTTGGTAGGTCACATTCGTAAAAAGAGGACGGGATTGTGGTTACGACAATTAGAACATATCTGTCGTCATCTGTGAAACAGATATTCCATAACGGCCAACCACCTTGTATGGCGTCCGTTAACTTTTCGAATAGATCATTTCAACTTCACTACTTGGAACTCTTGGTTTAATAGCTTCCTAGTGAGCAGCAACCATCTATTAAGGAAATCATGATAGGAAACGCAAGCCCTTGAATATCGTATCAACTTGAAGATATAAACTCCATATGCAGGCGCTGCTGGAATCATCTGTTTTGTCGGACGGTTTTGCTCTCAATTGACCCTCATTGTCAATTTCTATGTCAAGATATGATGCAGACTTAACTGTATTTATTGTATCCTATATTTCAAGTTTGATGGAAATAGATGCGTTCAACATAGTCACCAAACTTTGAATTATTTAGTGATAAGTTATCTATATAGCGGAAAGTAAGTTAAAGATTAATGCTAGTTTCTTTTCATTCTTCCTAAAAAGCACCTGTACGAAGTCAACCTCATGCGAATAAAGTAACAAGTCGGCGAAAAGAGGAGCACAGTTGGTTCCCATGGGAATGCCGGTTGATTGATGAAAACACGTCATCCAAACGTAACAAATATGTTGTCAATCAAGATAATGTTAGTTTCATAGATTTTTTTTTGTTTCAATCAGAGTGATTTTTGACACAAAGTACGATTAATTCCTCCCTAAGATACTTGTTAATGCAACCGATCAAACCATACACCAATAAGTGACTCCTCCAAGAAAATAGATATACAAACAAAGACAGTATTTTTCCTTTGAATACCTTAAGAGAATGAAATGCTGGTGCACAATTCAATAAGCTAGCAACATAACAACATAACAAAACACAACAACAGCTCTTTTTGTTTATATATTCTCATAATAAAACAAAATAATACCAATTTTTATACGCCCGTTTACGGGACGTATTATGGTATACTGTTGTCCGTCCGTCCGTTCGTCTGTCCGTCCGTCTGTACGTCCGTCGTCGACAATAACTCAAAAACGCTTTTACCAATTTGCATGAAACTTTGATGAATTGTTCATATCTATTGACTTAAGCTCCCTTTCGATTTTTATAAATTTTAGATTTTACGTTTCCGAGTTCTGGGGTTTTATTCATTAAAAAGGAGGATTTTCCAGTTTTCGGACAATAACTCAAAAATGCTTTGAGCGGTTTTCATGAATCTTTGGTGAATTGTTCATATATATTGACTTAAGCTCCCTTTCGATTTTTATAGAATTTAGATTTTACGTTTCCGAGTTGTGGGGTTTTATTCATTAAATAAGGATGATTTTCCAGTTTTCGGACAATAACTCAGAAATGCTTTGAGCAGTTTTATTGAAACTTTGGTGAATTGTATATATCTATTGACTTAAGCTCCCTTTTGATTTTTATAAATTTTAGATTATACGTTTCCGAGTTATGGGATTTTATTCATAAAAAAGGGTTGATTTTCCAGTTCTTAGACAATAACTCTATAGTGCTTTGAGCAGTTTTCATGAAACTTTAATGACTGGTTTATATTTATTAAAATAACCTCCCTTTAGCTTTTTTTTTTAATAAATTTCTGATATGACATTGAAGAGTTATGGAACTTTATTCTTTGAAAAAGCGACGGGCGTACCATGCGCTCATGGCGCAGCTCTTTATTACACTTTGTATAATTCACTAACGTTTTAATCTGATTAAAATTCAGATCTATCGTAATTCGTTTTCTTGTCGATGAGCAAAGTGGAATCTCAGATCTATATTTTTATAAGATTGCAGCTTCATAGTGTTCGAGGAGGGGGAGAGAAGATTTGTTTTTTGAATTTTCCATCGATGCACATTGTTTGCCCGAATAGAAATAAGGGTTAAGCTACACCACTGATGACTCGCATATTCAACAAATCAAAGAAGAGAAACTTTACTGAGTTTTCATGGAAAGAGATTCAGACAAATACATGTCTATTCGATTCATTTATATGTTTCGGAGTTTAGTGTGACGTCCATTTTCTATGAACTACAACAGATTTGTGTTTAGGGGTCAGCTAAAGCCCGCCTCCGGGTGCGGGATTTCTCGCTGTGTTGAAGACCCATTGGTGGCCTTGGTCTGCTTTCTGCTCTTTGGTCGGGTTGTTGTCTCTTTGACACATTCCCCGTTTCCACTCTCAATTTTACTAGTTCCATCCTCGACCCAAATATTGGGTGGAGGAAAATTAGTCGCATTTCTGTAGCCTAGTCAGTATCACAGTCAGAATATCAGGCAGCTGACTGAATCTTAACTTTAAAGGAATGTTATTATTATGGAAATTGTCAGTTAAGGTAGCACAATACAAAGATTTTTTTACTTCCAATCTCCAACCTTTAAAATGATGTTACTTTTTTATGACTGCATACAAATTAATAAAAGAGGTATATATAGATAGATAAAAGATTAATCTTTTATATGAATGCAATATTTTTGTTATGCAATCATTATGTAATCAATTATTATGCAATTAATGGCAAAATCTTGGTCAGTTCACTTGAATGAATTTAGCTCTGACATCTCTATAACTACACAAGAAATTTTAACGTTATCTTAATCAACACAGCAGGAGCTACAAAAGGATGTCTCAAATTATCGCTATCGTATTCCATTCTCTCATAAATCTGTAATTAGTGTAAACATCCTTACCACATAAAAGTAGAGATTATTTGATTAGGTGTAAAATTTGATCTATACATTCTATCCAAAATCTGAGACACTCTTTTGTAGATAATGGCTCAAGGAACAACATATTATAAAATCAACCCTCTCGGGATA